CCCCCCGCCCCTTTGTTTTTGTTAATTGCTGATGCCTGGGAGGCCTCATGTCACGGGGGCCTTTGTTTAAAGCTTCCGTGGCGGCTTTGATAAAGCTGTTTAGAACTCGCCGGGCTCGTAGGTGTCTCTTGCAAGATCTCCGACTTGATAAGGGGAGATTTAGCATTGCTGATACCTCAAAGACAGACTGACTGGCAAAACATAAAATTCTTCAGGGCTGACCCGCGTATCGTGAGATTGCGAAAGCACAAAACCAGTTCGAAATAACTAGTCGGTGAAGTTTAAAAATTATATTCCAGTCTGAAGTTGCTTAACATTGCTTTGGTAATCTTGATATTACTTTCTGCTGAAGAAGTCAGGCGAAATACGCCCATTTTTACAAATTTGTTTGGATACACTTTGTATGAATAACAAACTTGTGTGTGGTCAGTTTTACAGTTCCCTCTTTTTAATTCCTTTCACAGAGCAGTGGGAGGGCATGCGTATTTCTAATAGTGTAAAACAACAACAAAAAATCTGTGATATCTACCTCTGCTGTAAGAGAGGATTTCTTGACATTGTTTCCTGTTTTATTTCCAGTTTGTCAGTACACACTTTATTATGGCTCTGTACTGCTAAAATGTCCTTGTTTTTTGAGGTTTCGTAGCATACAAGCTAGTTGTAGAGAAACAGTGAATAAGACAACATTTTTTTAAAAGAATTTTTATTAATAAGTTTTTTGGGCTGATTTTATGTAATGGTAGCTGTTTAAATGAAATCAGGTTAGTTAGTCTCCCTTTCTCACCTGATTCTTGAAAAGCAAAAAAAAACTACTCCCATGAAGCACGTTCTCTAATTTGTGCGTAATGTGCAGTGTCTCTGATATGGATTTAAAGGTGCAGTATCATGGTTATGAAAGCTTCGGTAGAAGATGATGATTCAGGATGGGAACTCGGTATGCCTGACAAGATGGAAAAGAGTAACACAAGCTGGATAGATATAACCCAGGATTTTGAAGAAGCTTGTAGAGGTGAGTTGTACTACTTGTGTTCTCAGAAAACTTGGAATCCTTTGGAGGACTAAGCGTAGTTGTTTGAGTTTTTTAAGCAATAGTTTGACACGAGTTCAAGCTCCAGATGAATGGACTACATTGATTCTGTGTTCCCCTGTGTTTAACTTACTGTAAGGTTGGAAATACCAGAAGAACCTCACCTTGCTTCCTCTTCCAGATTACGTAAATATCTTTTTTAAGTCATGCTTTTTCATCTTAGGCATTTTTGCACCTGTTTTTTTTTCTTTGTGAAGATTTCTTCCTATATGTCTTCTGCCAAATGGAAACCTCATTCATCCGTGCAGAATCAAAACTCTGTTTTTCCCTGTACATTTTTGGATCTATAGGGTCCAATGATTTATTCATTTAATTGGTCAGTGCATCGTTTTTCATCTTTGAAAGAAGGCTGAGCTTCTGAGGAGATGCAGTGCATCCCAGTCACGGGGAAGCAGTTGCTTCCATTTAAACGGTGTCTTTATTGCTATTAGATATTAGTCCTAGTTTACCATGACAGCGACTTTGTTTTTTCAACTGATTTGATGATGACATTGGGGAAAAATAAATCTAAAACTGCAACTTACCACACACAATATTACATAATGATAAACACAATTTCCTTATGCCGTCAAATAATTCTCTCATATTAGTTATACACTATTTGTATCAAATACATCTAAAGGCTTCATTAAAAATAATGAGGAAAAGCAAGCCTTTTAGTAAAATCCCCTGGAAAAGATTAGACATCTGCATAAAGGAGCACAGAAAACTGCTGTCCTGTGTTTTAGGCTCTTCAGATGCTACTATTTGGTAATTCTAAAACCCCATTAACTGTTGGAATAACAGAGAGGGATGAGGAAAGACTGTGAAAAACTGGGGGGTTTTAGCCTTTCAATCTTGAAAGTGCTTTGTAAGTAAAAGCAGATGAAGGTGGAGTAGAAATGTCTGCTTCCCACACCTTGTTCTCTCTTAGCGTAAGACAGTGGGTGAGTGACAAGACTATCCTGGAAAAGTTGCGCTAGAAGGATGGTTGTAATTATTTATCCTGTTCTGTTCCTTTGTAGAACTGAAGTTAGGAGAACTGCTTCATGACAAGCTGTAAGTATGCCTGTGGGATAGTTAAGGTTTTTAGGTAGGATTAGTGCAAATGTGTTAGTGCTTACTAATAAGCAAGTCATGCAATATCAGCTAAGCTTTTTTAAACTTTTACTTTAAGTAAAATAGTCAAAGTATTCAGAATATCATTTGTCCTCAGCAGTATGTATATGATGCACCTGTACAAATGCTGAACATTTCTCATGATGCCAGTATAACATTACATTTTCCATTAATCAGTGTAGTTTAGAAGTTTATAGCACATTTTATGGTCAGCGGTGTTGACAATACTGAACTATTTTGTGTGGACATGCTTTTATAAAAAAATGCCAGAAAGACTTCGAGATTTTAAATTTGGTTGCCTCAAATGTCACTTACAAATTTAGGATAAACAATCCATGTGCTTTAACATAACTCTTAAATTACTTGCTAAAACAGAAACTGAGTGCTTTACAGATTAAGAAAAAATATATTTAAAAAAAAAAGCATGTGCTAAAATTTTGCTGAATTCATTAAAGAATGACATGAGATTAAAATATTTTAAAGATAAAAGTAGCCATACAAGTCTGTTCACTTGCATAAAGCAAAAAGTGCTTATTTAAGACTAATAGCTCAGAAAACAGAAGCACACTAAATGCAAACCTGCTTAAAAACGTGTGCAAGGATGTCACCAAGTAGTTACTCAGTCGAAACAAAGAACATTTTTGAGGTATAATTTTATACATAAGAGCATTTCAGAGCAAATACGCTTTTCAGAATTAGAACATGGCACATGTAATAACCTTTTTTATATAATAAAGGCTTGTGCAGCAGTTTTGATGATTATCATATGTACCAAAGGTGAGGCATTATATCTGTTCTTCTGTAGGCTAGTGTTCACTGGGGTGGTTCTCCTGCAAGCTTTTGTGCCCAGACTGCAAGAGATCGATTGTCACATGCTGGGGGTTTTTTTGTATCAGTTTTTTTAACATGCCCATTTTAAACAAAGTTGGTATATTCAATGTATATTATTGTCGATCTGTGTCATGTATATTGCCATTAGTTTGTGGGGGACATATCTTACTTGGGTTTTTGGATGTAGCATGATAAAAACCAGCTTGTTCAGTTAATAGCAGTTTATTATGATATGTGGTCTTCAAAAAGATGCTATGTCATTATCAGGTGTATAGAAACAAGTGTACATAGATTTAGTGTAATGGTATATTTGGCTCAGGAGTGTTCCTCAGCTTTAAAAAAAAGCTGAGAGTTTTCTTTTACTTTTAGGCATCTATTTTCATTCTTACTTGTTGAGAGATCTTCAAATTCCTGAAAACCATGATCTAAAGATCAGTGGTAATGTTCACATACCTTGCCTCATTGTCTGTAATCAGAATACAGTGTACTCAGTTTGTCATCGTATGTTCTCTTACATTGGTTTGTGAAGACTGTTTTGTATAAAATAATTACATTCAGAGCATTTTTTTATTGGTGTTCTTAGTTTTGGTCTTTTTGAAGCCATGTCTGCCATTGAAATGATGGATCCCAAGATGGATGCTGGTATGATTGGAAATCAAGTTAATAGAAAGGTTCTTAACTTTGAGCAAGCAATTAAGGTTCGTGGGACTTTCCTGGTTTTGCCTACACTGACTGTAAAAGTATGATACAGTTTTATCAAATTGCAGTTAAGCATAATTAATGTTTTCAATCTTTACTTACAATTGATTTTTTCTTTTTTATTTTGGATAGTTAAGTAAAAAAGAGCTTGTGATGTTTACCTTTTTTGTTACCTACATTATCACAATGATGCTAACTCTTCCAGTGAAAAGTACCGTGAAATTGTTAGGTATTCATACATCAAATAAATAAATTTCAGAAATGTTTTTGCAAGTCACCCTGTGCTTCCCCAGAATGTGTCTTTTATATGAAGATGTATTGGTTAGTCTCTCTTTAAGCTGAATGGAAACCAGCTTCCTTACAAATTAACAGTTTATGAGACTATCAGTTCATTAGCATTGAACAGAAGCTGGCTAGTTTAACAACATTGACAGTAACGATTAACTTTTGATGCATGGTGAAGATAAATTGATGGAGGGAGGTTGAAAAACTTTCTGTTAGCTTGGAAAAAATAATGCACTCACAGAGGAAAAAATGTTTTTTACCATGGACCTTGTTTTGAAAGGACTAAGAGAACTCTGCGTAAAATACTGGCGAAGTCATGTAGGATGTATGCAGAATTGCATACATTGGACAAATAAAATGGAGGAAGTAGGGTTGCTGCCTTTTTGGTCCTGACCTTGAAGGCAGTAAAACTCTGTACGAGTATCTGCAGTGTAAAAAGCAGTCTTCAAAGAACAGGTCCTGCATATTATTCCTTGTTCAATCATTATTACGATTATACATATTGTTTTGTGATTTAAGTGTTGACAGTTAACTGGTGTTAAACGTATATTGGCTACTCATAAATCAGGAATTTTATTCTAGCTTTCTCTTTGAATAGCTTTATGTTTGAATAGTGTTCAACACGATGGGAAAGCAAAGTTTTTCAGAATTTGAGGCACATTATGAAGCTGATCAATAAAATTAGTGGTATACAAATATTCTGAAGTCTTAACCAAATTGTAATCTCTTTCTCGGCTGTACAAATAATAAGTTGTATGTTGCCTTTAGGCTTCCATAGTCTTTAGGGTTTTTTTCTTTCTTTGTCTTCTAAGGATGGCACCATTAAAATAAAGGATCTCACTTCACCTGAGCTGGTAGGAATAATGGATACGTGTTTTTGTTGTTTGGTAAGCATTTCTCTGCTCTTAATGTTAGATGGTTTTGCTTTCAAAATATAATCCTTTAATCCAGTTTAGAAAAACAAAAAACAGTAGAACGCAAGAAAAAAGATTGACCAAACAGAAAATACATACTTACTATTTTAGTTTCCATTTAGATATTTGCATTGGCTATTATAAGAGGCATAACTTTGATTTTTGGATTTTTTGTTATAGGAAATCGTTATGGAAGAGAACTGGTAGTGTTTTGAATAATGTAAAAAGGTTTTATAATTCAGTTTTTTTAAATGAATGGTATCTGCCTGCTGTATAATGGTATTTGTGTTGGAAAGTGAGTGTACAGTAACCTACAGCCCTCTGTAGCTCATTTCTGTACAGCCAATATTGACTGAGCTCACAGGGGCATTTTGAAGAAAGAAAAGAAAATGTCTAAATCTGTTTCGAAAGGAATTAAGGGAATTATCAATTATTTGTTAATTGTGATTTTTTTTTTTTTCTATGGATATGTCTTAATTTCCTCAGTATATTATTTTCCTCAGTATATGATTTTCAGATACTCTTTAAAATGACATCAGTAAAGTACTTTGGTTTTTAAAACAACATTTCAAATTAGTTTAGTACAAAAAGACATGTAAAGATAATTGTATATTTGATACGGTGTAATTCCCTCCCCTTTCCCCCCCGTCAAATACTGGCTTTTTTTTTAAAAGGGACAGTGATCATATTAGAAATCTGATCCTACTGTGTTTTATGCTATTTCAAGATAGAAATAAGGTTTTAAATTACTGAAGCTTTCTCTGCAGCTTAAAGCAGCATGAAAGTAGTAAAGAAAAGGGATCGTGAAAAGAAGCCAGAAGTTGTAGAAGAGAACATGTAGAATATTGCTGAATTGTTTCATAGCCACTTGCATTTTTCATTCTGTATTTACACAGAGGAAGCTTATAAATCTGATGTTCTCTTAACTTAATGTCATGTCTAAGTCACAGCGATCAGAGCTGAACTTTATGCAAGAGGTTTATCCAACACCAGAATTTGATAGTATTTAGAGTTTAGTAACTGACTGCCTGCCACAGCCAGCAGATGGACAAAGGTTAAAGGTTGAGAGACCTTCTTTTGCCCTTTTTGCTAGATGGAAGGTTGCCATGAGAGGGACTTCCTTAATGACTCACTGAAGCACAGCAAGATGGAAAAAGAATGGAGATACAAAAATGAGGCCTTGGCTGTCATGAGTAAAACATTTAATTTTCTTTTCCCTAGATAACATGGTTAGAGGGACATTCCTTGGCACAGACGGTATTCACTTGCCTTTATATTCACAATCCAGACTTCATAGAAGATCCTGCTATGAAGGCTTTTGCTCTAGGGATCCTAAAAATCTGTGATATTGCCAGAGAAAAGGTTAACAAAGCAGCTGTTTTTGAGGAGGTATGTGTTTCAGTATCTCCTATGGTTAAATATGTAACATTATATGTATGCTCTGTAACGCAAATAAAACAGTATATTAGAGAAATTTATTACTGTTTGATTCGAGGATACTGTAGGAGCAGCAGTTCATCCTCCTTGTATTAGATTAAGTACTAGACTTGATCTCTTTGAAAGGCAGTTTTCTTCAACGAAGATGTGGCATGCTCTTTTCCATATTTTGCTTGAGTATTGGAGTCACATAAATATTTTACTCAAATAGCAATGCAAGTCTTGTGGCTAACCATTTTAAATCAGTTTTACTTGTGGTTTTCTTCCTGTTTAATTTTTTTTTTCTACTTTAGATAACCATGATTCTCTTTTGTCTGAAATGTCCATCTAGCAATGGAATCAGAGTCTAGTTTTCTGTGCTCAGAGCAATTTTTGTTTCCTCTGAGCTTGGACAAGTCACTTCTTTCTTACTATATCTAAAATTGATTAAAAAGTACTTTGCATCCATAGTTCTGGTAAGATTTTGATAAGGTGGCACTTGATGAAAAATATGAAGGGCATACTGCTATTAAGGATTTATGCAGAAAATAATTACCCCAAGCTGGATTTGGGAAGGAAAGTCACCCACACCATGGGTATATTCAGTTGTGCAGAATAAAACTGGACTTTTATACTTGGTATAGTTAAACAAAAACACCCCAAAACAAAAAAAAAAAACAACAAAACACAACAAGAAAACAACCCCAAAAAACCCAAAGCAAACAAAAAGAAAACCCCAAACCCCAGCTTGAAAATGTAACTACTAGTGTTTATATTTCACTACATATTGCTTATTTGATTTTTATTTTTTAGGAAGATTTTCAGTCAATGACTTACGGATTTAAAATGGCCAACAGTGTGACAGATCTTAGAGTTACAGGTACAGTTTGTGCTTTCTGTGTATCTGCCCATCAGTCTCTTTCTCATTTGAGCATGTTGGTTACTCTCAGCCAAACCTAATGAATTGGTAGGAATCTCAGATGTTAAGTTTTTTTGATTAGTCTTGTGAAAATTGGTGGCTTGTTAAAAAGAGAGATCGAACTATTTTTCCTTGAAGAAAAGGTTCAGCTGTTTATTTGTTAAATGCCTGAGAAACAGAAGAAGTGCTTTTAGATGTGCCAACCAAATGTGTAGGCATGAGCTTACCTAGGTCTGAGAGATACAAACCATTGCAAAGTGCACTGCTTGAATTCTGCTTCTCTGCTTGTTGTGTTCTAAACACATTGCTTTTGAGGAGAAAGCAATTTCGTAGTTCTAAAGCTATGAACACATATGTTATTAGGTACATACATAAATATGTATGTTAGCCTTTTGATGCACTATTTTTCATACATACTTGAGCTTTCCATTGTTTTATTTTGAGAAAATTTGTAAACACTTTAGCTTTGGATCAGTCAGTCTGTACTCTGATTTATCTGTTGTTGCATCCCCACCATCCCTCACAAGACTGTTTTTTGTCTAGTCTTTGGCTAATGGGTATGTAAAGCACTTCAAAACTTGATTTCCCCTCAAAACTTTTTTCCCCTGAGTGGTGTAGGTGTACCTAGGAATGCTTCTCAGCTTTTAATTGTACTGTGAATTTTCCAGGTATGCTAAAAGATGTAGAAGATGACATGCAAAGACGAGTGAAGGTATTTTTCTCACATTTTTCTTGTCAATTATACTTCAAGTGTACCTAACATAGGTTTGGGGGAGGGAGTTGGATTATGAAGAATGCGGCGGTTTTGTGTCGTTAAATGGTGGGGTTTTTTTGAAGAACTGCCATAATGGTTTGTGTAAGATGCTGGTAGTTTGCCTTCTAGCTAAAGACAGTGAAGTCTTCAGACTTTTCTAAACTCTTTTAATAGTTGCTGCACCTAGTAATAGGTGGAATCATGATGTAGAAGGTAACACTGGGCTGGGGCACAGAAAGTATGTATTTAACTTCTGGCTCTTAAGCAGATATACTATGTGATGTTAAAGAAGCCACTTAATCTTCCTTTACCACAGTTTACAGTATAAGATGTTCATACAATTTCCCTACCTATTTGCAGAGTGGACTGAATAGGTCTCATTACTGTAGGAGAGTCTTGGATCATTTAAGTACCTAGATTATATATTAGGAGATTTTGAACGTGATAACTGATTTTTAGGGTTAACAGATGGATGTTCTGGAGAGGGTAAAGGGGTTTTATCAGTAGCTTCCCTTTGCAATTTTTAATAAATTATTTGAAATTCCTTTCCCTTCTAGAGCACTCGAAGTCGACAAGGAGAAGAGAGAGATCCAGAAGTTGAACTTGAAGTAATGAATTGTTTACTTTTTTCCTGGATTTCATGGATTAGTACAGCATTACTTTAATCAGTAGTTACCAGCTTGTGAGAAATGTGTGTCATCGATGTTGCTACTACTGTCATCTCTGAGCTGCTCTAAACATGGCCCTGAGCAAATCCCAAGCAGGTAGGCTTTTATGCTCTGAAGGGCTAGAGTTCTGGATCAATCCCAACGGCAGAATAGTGATGCTGCTGCAATGCTGCTGTTTGTGCACCTACCTCTCAAGAAAAAGCCATCAGCAAAGTAGGTGGTCTTCTCTATCCTGTACCTTCTTCCCTCAGTTCCTTTGCAGCAGCTTTTACTGCTGCTGGCAGCCTTACGGTCAAGGGAGAAAGTAGGAAGAGAAGGTGAAAGCAGGGAGCTCCTTCCAGAAGAAGTGACAATTGGTGTAGTTGGTGTGGTTTATTTAGAAGGATGTGGGTTTCCTTTCCCAGTAATGTTATTTTCTTCAGAAATTACTTTTAACATAGATCTCTAGCAAAAAGGAGAGAAAATCAGTTTAATAATTTGTGGTTGCTTACTTAAGCTGAGATTTGAATGGCATTTGCGTAGGAGATAGCTATACAGCCAGTGGTTGTGCTTTACCTGAGGTATCTTAGTATTTTTTGTGTTAGTGTGCTTTTCTGACAGCAATATAGATTTCTTCTATAAATTCTGTAACTTTTCTTCAGAAGCATACTCAATACTGTATTTTTAAGACTAGAGAGCATACTTCAATCAATCTATAAAAATTTTTTTTAATAAGTTCCAGGATTTAATGCGTATTGCTTAGTAATTTGCAGTATGTTTTTTATTACAGCATCAACAGTGTTTAGCTGTGTTCAGCAGAGTCAAGTTTACCCGGGTACTACTGACTGTTCTGATAGCATTTACCAAAAAAGAGGTACGTTCATTTGGTGTTTCTGTGTTTGCATTGTGATCCTGTGAAATACTAGGTTTTTTCATTCTCTAAGGTCAAGCAATTATTCTGTAGATTCTGTAGATTTGAATTGATGTTGCTGCAGGTAAAGGGTTGGATAAGGCCTTACAGTAGCAACCATTCAGTGTTTGTTCATTTTTAAAGAAAACGTAGGGAAGGCTAGTAACTGATATGATTATGGCCTTGCACAGAAACAGAATATTCATTCTAGAACACTTAAAGAATAATATTTATGGGTTTTGGAATACTCTTTTCACACACATGAGCAAAACTTTTCTTTTTTGAGTTCAGTCCCCTTCTGTGGAGTTACCTGACATTGGGCAGTGTTTTGTCCATCTCTAGGGAATTGTTAGTTTTTCCTTCCATGTGGTATTGAATTTGTATCTAGACTACTTTGGTCTGAGAAAAGGAATATAACAACTTTCCATGCAATTTGCCTCCTTTTTTGAACATAATTGTTTGGGCGGGGGGGAGGAACTGAGTGTTTTAGAGCAAAGGGGTACAATCACGTGTCACGTAAGACAAAGCTTTTTGTTTGAAGAGCTTTTTCTTTATACAAAGATAAATACCTGTGTGTTGCTTATTGTTACTTCCATTTTCATAAAGAAACAAACAAGTTTCTTGCTTAAGTGGCATGGAGTCTCTCCCACATATTTTGCTGTTGGAGCAGCTACATAACGTTCGGAAGATCTCGATTAAATTGAAAGTCAGGTGCAAGTATCATTGATAGATATCATTGTTGAGGAAAAAGTGATTGAGTGGTTGAGAACAATTGCATTCTGATTATAACCATTCGTTATATCAGAAAAGAAACCAACATAGAAGTGATCTACACTGATGTACAACCAAATTCTGTCTGTGTTAATTACTACGAGGTAATGATCTGTGCAAAATCAGATTATCTTAGTGTTGCTAAAGTCTGATTACTTAAAGTATAAGTTATTTACGTCATGGACTACTTTGATTTGAATTAGATCTGCTTAACAACTTATTTTAGTAGATTTGTGGATGCTATAATACGTGAACATACATTCTGCAGAGCTACAGATCTTGTTCAGTTTCTTTACATCTTCAAGTTTCAATTTGAATTGAGATTTGAAATATTTGAAGTTCCATCAGGGACTGTTAGTCTAGTACTTTTAAAACAAGATTTCAGTTTTTACAGAGAGCTATTTTAAATGGTACCCAGTTTGCTAACAGATTTGGATTCATAGGACGTCAGAAAATTCAGCATGTAAGCAGATCATGAATCAAGATTCTAATGGACATCTGATATCTTCTAATGCTATATAGTGATTTCGCTTCAGTTGATACGTTGTGTTTTGTCCATATTCTCAAAAATTCTGCATTTTCTAATGATAGGAGATTTTTTTCCTCTTTGCAGTTTGTAGTTCTGCTTCATTTGCCAGAAGAGTGTTGTGGGGGGTTTCCCCCTCCCTCAATTCTTCAAAATCAGAAGTTGAGGACTTGCATGTAGTGTATACGAAACTTTCAGTTGTAATTATTGTTAAGGCTTTTCTTATACTGCAAAAAAATACAATACTAAATGTATGTATAGATATGTAAAATATAAAGAACACTTTACTGCACAAAAATCTGTTGGGCTTTTTTTTTTTCAGAACTGGTTGTGTACAAACGTTAGAATCCTAATATCATTCTTTTTTCTGATACTAACGTTAATTCTATAGTCAAAATAATGTTGGTTCATGATGTGAATAACTGTTACCTGCCTTTCAGACAAGTGCAGTTGCAGAAGCTCAGAAGCTAATGACTCAGGCAGCTGACTTGCTTTCTGCTATCCACAATTCATTGCATCATGGTATCCAGGCACAGAATGATACCACTAAAGGAGGTATGCACCAAATTTTACCATTTTTTTCCTTTCTTAAATATGCTGTCTTGATAAAATTTAATATCTATGTGTATTTTAAAAAAAAAATCACTATTTACTTCAACCTAATAATACTCGTTATACAAATTGTTACAGATTTGCATTGTTTGATCTTAATTTTATTTCACTAAATGATGGTTCTCCTGAAATCAATACTGTCACTTCAAAGCCAGAGATAATGTGAACTTTTGATTAAGTGCATTGCACAGTGTATATGCCGTTTTAAAATAGGGAACACCACCACACTGTCTGTACAGGTATATGCTGAGGTGTTAAGGGTTGGGTTTTTTTGAATAGTAATCATTGTCTCAGGTGGGTAGTTAGTGTCTCTGTAAGTGAATTGTCAGTTAAAAAGTTAATTTTGTGTTATACTTGCAAGTTTGAAGTGTGTTCTGAAAACATAGCTTATATGCAGCTTTTCTCTCTCTTTCTCTCTTCCTCCCTCCTTCACTAGATCATCCTATTATGATGGGCTTTGAGCCCCTTGTTAATCAGAGATTGCTGCCACCAACTTTCCCTCGATATGCAAAAATAATTAAAAGGGAAGAAATGGTCAATTATTTTTCCAAACTAATAGACCGAATAAAAACTGTATGTGAAGTAGTCAACTTAACTAACTTGCACTGTATACTGGTAAGCGTGAATATTTGTTATTTATAGCCAAACATAAGATCTTAAAATGTTACTTGCAAAAAATCATTCCGTACGTGCGTGCTGTTGCTCACTGGATTAAAAACTGAGCTGTATGTATAAATCTTCTGGTGTTTCCCATTGCTGTGTACAATTTCAAAATTTGCCATCTTTCCTGATACTTAATATTTTTCTTTTTTTGACAAAGACCTTTTCTCCTTTCACACCTCCCGTTTTTCCCATAATCTGTTAAACAATTATGCATGTTAGTGGCGGAGCACAAGCAAGTTAATTTCCTTGTAACTCTTTCTTTGGTTGAAGAGTTGCATTTGCAGTAGCAGAACATAATTCCTTGCTATATTCCTGATTTTTTTCAGATTCAGTAAGCAGTATTCTGCATATGTGCCTACAACACAAGAGAGCACTTAATACATGTTTGTTTAAGCATGTAATTCCCTGAATAGGCCTAAAGTTAAGCACCTGCTAATGTTCTTTGCCAAATAAGTGATGTTATTCTCAGTTACTGCCTACATTTATTAGAAGACAGTTAAATGTTTGAAATACTTTTTACCATACACGCATTCACAGACTGAGAAAAGAGCCACAGTTAAATCAGTTCGAAGGTCAAGCAAAAATCTTGTCTTCCTGGTTCCTGTTAAATTAATTAAAGCAGTGTTTGCATGAAGCATCTGGTACCAATTAAACATTGCAGTTCTGTTACATACCTGGTTCAGTTATGTTGTGATCTTAATGGTTTCACACATCTTTTTTCTATACTATCATCCTTCTAATTGTTGCATCTGAAGAAGAAAATTCAGAAACCTTTTGTTCTGTTAAGTAACAAGTAATTGCAGAAAAAAATAGATTTTAGCATCATAATATGTTCTGATTTGTTCAAATTATTCATGCTTGCTTTCTTATAATTTGTATAAGCTATGCTATGTGTATGTCTGAGCGTGTATACAAAATATAGTTGTATTTACACAATTGTATCTCTATGTGTATATATAAAAATGCAAATGCATGTGTGTGTATAAAAATGTAAATATGTGTGTACATGTGTGTATATATGTAAAAACTGGCATATTAACCTGAATTGTCTTTTTTTTCCTAAACGTAAATTAGGATTTTTTCTGTGAGTTTAGTGAGCAATCACCATGTGTTCTTTCAAGGTCCCTGTTACAGGTAGGTCCTAATCTGTGTCTTTAAGTAAAATACTTCTGCATTCATTATAAATATGGATTCATCTTCTTGTTTCAAATATTTAAATTATTTGCATATCACTTAATAATATACAAGCAGTAAAAAATTTTTTGGAGGCTTATGTTCTAATACAATTTTTTAAAACATTTTAAAATACTGTTGTTTAGATCATGTTAGTGCATGCTAATTAAAACACAAAGTGTTAAAATTTTTTCTCTGCCATAAAGCTGGACCTGTACACTCATTTTTGTGCTGTTCTCCATGTGCTGTCTCAGTTTGGGGGTGGTGTTTGTGTTCATCCTCCCTGTTTGGTCTGAATTTCACATATAGACTGCCTCTGTTGCTACAACAGTAAAACTGATGGCTGGGCCAGAACAGGCTACTACTTTGCTTCTCACTGCTTCACTTACCTTGAAAGTATATTATATATTCCTTAACTCAGAGTAAAATACACTTCCTTATAGGAGGCTTTGATTTGAATAGGGTGTCCCTGAATGTCAGAACTTCTTTCCATTTGATTCCAATTAAACCACATGTAGAACCGATGGAATATAATTATTGGCAAGTAAAATGTTTTCATAGAGCTTGTGTTCCAACTTTCCACTCATGTGTTTGTGCAACAGTCCCTCTGGGTGCCTGACAGCAAAGCTTTTTCTCCAGCTGCTGAAGAACCATGTAGGAAAGAGACACAGCACTCATGGAGGAGAGTGGAAGGAGCATCAGACATGACCAATGAAAGCAGTAGTATCTATATGGATAGCAAAAAGTCCGCATTAATCTGAAGATTTACCTTTACCTGCCTCCAGGGAAACTGCATAACCTATTTTAAGTTAATCTTCAGAAATATCTGTGTGATTAATCATCTTTAAAGTCCAAGAAGTAAAATCACTTTGCATGCACTGTCTTACGCAAGTAATAGAGCTTTATTTTGTGTCATGGGAATATGACAGAAGTGACAGATCTCAGTATGCCCCTATTTCTGAGTCTAACCTTGTACCTAGCTGAACCATTTTAATTCTTAAAGCAATCTTACAAGTTTCTGATGTAATATAGGTTCTGTAAGAGCTTCCTATTAGTAATTTCTAAAGTATTAATTTTAACTTAAAACATGTTTCTGAAAACACATTCTCACTTTCAGACAACTTTTCTGGTAGATAACAAGAAGGTGTTTGGCACTCACCTCATGCAAGACATGGTAAAAGATGCTTTAAGGTCTTTTGTCAGTCCTCCAGTACTTTCTCCAAAGTAAGTGGATCTTAAGTTTACTTGCATGTGTTTACATGTCTGATGAAAAAATATTTCTGCTTACAGAAGCGAGGACAGACATATAAAGAACATACACATTTTGTACATTAGTGCTTATGTATGAAGGAGTCAGTTGCTGCAGTCATGTTTCTTTTTTAATTTTGTGCTACATAGACTTGTGACATTTATAAACATATGTATGTACATGGATATTTCCCTTTTAGGTGTTGTCTTTATAATAATCACCAGGCGAAGGACTACATTGATTCCTTTGTGACACATTGTGTTCGGGTAGGTGTTCATTCCAATTACAGCATGTTTGTATATATATGAGCACTTTCAAGATTTCCTTACGTTTGAAAATGAGACCAGTTTTTTTAGACACCTGACATGAAGGCGAAATTGCAGAAGTTGGCCATCTAAAAATGATAACACTTTTTAAAAAGCCAATATAATTATTGCTGTTTGTTTCCTGTGTTATGCTTCCAGATTTTTCACCAACATTTCACTTTATTAAAAATCTGTGCCTACTACCTCTTTACAGGGTAGTTTCATGTCATGAAAAAAATGCATAGCACTAGTGAAAACAAAATTATCTTTACATTCTGTCTTGTTCAAAAATTTTAAAAATTGTTTTAAAAGATTCAGTTATTGAATGCGGCACAATGAAAATCTAAGAAAATCATAGAATCATTTAGGTTGGAAAAGACCCTTAAGATTGTGGAGTCCAACCATTAACCTAACAGTGCCAAACCCACCACTAAACCACGTCCCTGAGCACCACATCTGCACATCTTTTAAATACCTCCAGGGATGGTGACTCAAACGCTTCCCTGGGCAGCCGGTTCCAATGCTTGACAAACCTTTCGGTGAAGAAATTTTTCCAAATACCGAATCTAAACCTCCCTTGGTGCAACTTGAGGCCATTTCCTCTCATTCTATCACTTGTTACCTGGGAGAAGAGACCAACCCCCACCTCGCTACAACCTCCTTTCAGGTAGTTGTAGAGCGTGATGAGGTCTCCCCTCAGCCTCTTCTCCAGGCTAAACAGCTCCAGTTCCCTCAGCTGCTCCTCATAAGACTTGTGCTCCAGGCCCTTCACCAGCTTCGTTGCCCTTCTCTGGACACGCTCCAGCACCTCAATGTCCTTCTTGTAGTGAGGGGCCCAAAACTGAACACAGTATTCAAGGTGCGGCCTCACCAGTGCCAAGTACAGGGGGACGATCCCTTTCCTAGTTCTGCTGGCCACACTATTTCTGATACAAGCCAGGATGCCATTGGCCTTCTTGGCCACCTGGGCACATGCATTTAGGCATAAGAACTACTTGTTCTGATCAGATTCCTAAAGGATGGTCACTCAATCTCATGTTGACTTGTGTACAGAGAAGTGGGCTCTTGCATCACTCCAGAGAGTTTGCTCGCCTGCTAGCGTGCACTCCGTAGCGAGACTTAAAGAACCCACCTCCTAATATAGATGTATAAAACAGGTGCCTAAAAAGCCATCGTAGTGTACTTCTCCTGTAGTTTCAAAGTTGTGTTGAAAATTCAAACCTATGCCTTGTTTCTTTCAGCCATTCTGTAGTCTGATTCAGATCCATGGACACAATAGAGCTCGTCAGAGAGATAAGCTGGGTCACATTCTTGAGGAATTTGCCACCCTCCAGGATGAGGTAATGTCATAGGCAGCAGGCCAGCAAACTTCTTTCCAGGTATATTCCTACCAGGGTGGAGAATGTGGTATTAGATTCTAGATGAATGAAGCAACTACTCTGTTTGTCCTAAAATCTTTAGGACAAGGATTCTTAAAATGCAGCCCAGGAAGTCTGTAGGATGCATCCAAAGACTTTCTGTTAGATCTGTTGAACAAAAAGGTATTTTTTATGATTAATTTTGTCCTATAAGTAGACTTCAAGGAAACTTGCTGTGATGTCTATAATTTAACGGTAATTCCACTGCTTATAGTCTCTGTCCTGCTTGTAACTGTCAGTCTGCAAGATGTAACCAGGGAGAGATGGATGAGCCATGTTTACAAGACACTTGAAAATTCAGTCTTATAGCTATGTAAGAGGTAAATTGCAAAATTTTATAATGGTTCTAAAAATATATGTAAATTAAATAATAACTCTTAAAAATATGTGCTCCAGCTGGTTTTGAACATTGCTCAAGAATGGGGAGTGAAAGATGATAGGGAAAGGTATATAATATATATATATTTTCACTTGCTGAAAATCATAGAATCATAGAATCATTAAGGTTGGAAAAGACCTCTAAGACCATTGAGTCCAACCATCAACCCAACACTACCATGCCCACTAAACCATGTCCCTAAGCGCCTCATCTACACGTCTTTTAAATACTTCCAGAGATGGTGACTCCACCACTTCCCTGGGCAGCTGGTTCCAAGGCCTGACCACTCTTTCAGTAAAGAAGTTTTTCCTAATGTCCAGTCTAAACCTCCCTTGGCGCAACTTGAGGCCATTTCCTCTCATCCTATCGCTGGTTACTTGGGAGAAGAGACAAACACCCACCTCACTACAACCTCCTTTCAGGTAGTTGTAGAGCGCGATGAGGTCTCCCCTCAGCCTCCTCTTCTCCAGGCCAAACAGCCCCAGTTCCCTCAGCCGCTCCTCATAAGACTTGTTCTCTAGCCTCGGCCCCTCGATCCAGCCTGTCCAGGTCCCTCTTCAGAGCCTTCCTACCCTCGAGCAGATCGACACTCCCGCCCAACTTGGTGTCGTCTGCAAACTTACTGAGGGAGCACTCTATCCCCTCATCCAGATCGTTGATAAAGATATTGAACAGGACCGAATCCAAAACTGAGCCCTGGAGAACACCGCTCGTGCTGGACCGCCAACTGGATTTAACTCCGTTGAC